AAGGCCAAAGCAGTCTCTATTTTCTGACATCACTGAGGTCCTTCAACATCTACCGGACGCTGCTCAGGATGTTTGATGAGTCTGTGGTGACCAGTGCGGTCCTCTGCTGTGAGCGATACAAACAGACGTGTTGCTCGTGAATGGGTGTGCAGTCAAATGATAAAGTATAATAATAAAAAACAAAAAAGAAGAACAGTGCCATATCCATGCTATACATGCCAGTCATATTACTGATGCGTATGTCTTCGGCAGGAGCTGTGACGTGTTCCTACCTGTTCCAGCAGGTAGATGAGCTGATCTCTGGCCAGCCTCTTGAGGATGGAGAAGTCGGGGAGCTCCGGGGAGTCTCTCCTGGCACTGTGAGCCATACTAGACACACGACGGAGACCGGACAACACTCAGGCATCCACGACTGGCATAAACAAAGAAAATAAATAAATAACTCATATACAAATATAATGTTTAATAATGGAGATACAAAAACCAGCAGAAACATATAAGACAGAGATCTGTGCTGTGATTATCATCCCTGCTGGCTTAGCTTCAAAGCTAAAAACACATCCATCATATAAATGCTGATATAATCGAATACGCTGACAGTACTTTGTAAAATTTTCCCTCGAAATATAAAATTAATGCCAGAAATTTGACCGTTTATGTCTTTTGAAACATAACGCTTTATCTTAAGTTAGCAGCTACCTGCTTCCGTAGCTAAATAAGTGGAATGATCCCACGACCAGTTGTTTCCCCCCGGATCATAATACCAACGGACCGCTACACTTGCTGGAAAGACGTTGAAAATTAAATAACCTAATAACGCGGGTTTTCTGTCACTGACCTGACAGGACGTGATTTTTACACCATGAACTCAGACGCAGCTTTGTTGTTAGAAACTGTTCAATTTGCCGCAGAGAAACACCGCAACCAGCGACGTAAAGATCCAGAGGGAACGCCGTATATAAATCACCCCATAGGTAGGTGTGTTTTTACGGTAGTATGATGCATTCACGGCCTGTACGTAAACCCGTGAAGTCTCTCACTCTTATCTTTAAAAGAAAAAGAAAACAAAGTTTCTGATGTTTAACTGATACGATACCGGAAGCCGTGGAAGGAGGAGATTGAATTAAAACCCAGTTATCAAACTTAATTATGTTCATAATGGACATTATATAACAGTATCTGCTGCGGCGACACCTTGTCAATAAGGGAGTCGCCGAAAGGAGCGGTACTATTAGAACTAACCAGTCAAGTTATCAGGGTTTACTCGCCTACTACAGCTATATCACTAACATTATATGTTTACCATTTTATGGCAACAAATAGTTTTGCAGAAACTATGTTTCCATTAACACGATTACCTTTATTTTATTTGATTCTGGTGATAATACCCTGCCGTGTAATAGCGATACGTTATTTTTCGACTTTAAATTTGTATAGTGTATAGTCTCACAGGGAGGTGGAGGTCGATTGATCCGGGTTTTTAGTTCAGGGGTACAAAACTAATGGCTTTTTGTGTGCGGGGGATTTAGCGGCATCTAGTGGTAAGGCCGCAGATTGCAACGAATCTAATATCTCCCCCACTACTCACTGCTCCGTTTTTCTTTGCTGAGCTAATGATAGCACTTGGCAGTGCTTTTCCTGTCAGGGCTCCAGACCACTAGAGCTGTGGGGGACTTAAAGGGACAAACTTTGAAAGGATAAAGGAACGCACCAAAAATAATACTGAAAAACATAAATTATTTTCCCTCAAATCTAATTTCCATGTATCTATTTTTATTATATTGTCTTTGCTTTTATTTATTTATTTATTTTTTTGCCTTTTCCCCCCCAAATTCGTATTTTTACATTTCTTCAGACATTCTGCTTTATTATGCAAAAGAGGAGCTAGTGATTGTTTCAAAATATCTTTTGAAACGACGGTTCAGTGGATTTGTTTATCGTGGTGTTAGCAAGGAGCACCATAGATGGGCAGCCAGTGATTAAGCTCCCTCCTTGTGTCCCTGTGTGTAAAGGAAGTTTCTGGTGGTTCGTCTGCTTGTTCTGTTTGAGTTTCATTTTCCAACTTACAAATGAGAGCTATGAGCTATGTTATAGTGGGGAGGTAGAGTGTACAGCCTGATACGGCGGGGAGGTGTGGGAAGCCAGATCAGGCACCCCCCCTTCCGGCTCTGCTCTCTGCTCACTCCTATCTTGTCCCTTTTGTCTTACTTCTCTCTATCACCTTTTCTATCCCTTTGAAGAAGTGAGGCTCCATAAATGCTAAAGAGGTAAGTATTAGTTTTTAGTTGCAATGATTAGATAGAAAAATAAACCGTAGAAACCTAAACAGAAGAAAGAAGAAGAGAAATAATAATTGAACATAAACCAGTGACACACTCCAGGGCTGTATCAACCCTGTCAGGGCCTCCTTGGATGAGGGTGTCTAGTGATAATGGCCAAAACACCCGATGAATCAAAGGTCCACTACTGACAATGTGTCCCAAATTTTAATATGAAAATTTAGATCAGATCTCTAATCCCTAAACCTAACCAAGGAATTAAAAATGGAAGATTAGCGTCGGTAAAAGACCTAAAGTTGAGACATAATGATGTGTGCTGCTGGCAAAGTTTCTGGGCTTTCCTCATAACAGCCATCCCTCAAGATTCTCTCCATTTAAAGCAATGCATTATCAGGGACTGTAACATCTAGTCCTTTTACTGAATGTAGAAACTTAAAGTGTTGAAGGAGCTCTTCAGAGAGGAAATGTCTGATTATAAATTAGTTTTCTTGTTCTATAAGTGACTTCTCTTAGCAGTCTGGAAACAGTGAAGGTTCTTGTTTACGGTCTTGTTTACTCACAGCTCTCTGTGTGTGCTTTTAAGGAGTAGCGAGAATCCTCAGCCACGAAGGGGGCGTCACAGATATTGAGGTTTTGCAGGTGAGTTATCAGTTGTTACCTGTTAGTCACAGTCACGTGCACGCATTCTCGCATCAGTAAACCTGTGTGCTTCCTCCTGCCCTGCAGGCCGCCCTGCTTCATGACACAGTCGAAGACACCGACACCACCCCCGCAGAGCTGGAAGCTAAATTTGGTGTAACTGTGGCTCGCATTGTTCAGGAGGTGACGGATGACAAGAGCCTGCCCAAGCAGGAGAGGAAGCGTCTACAGGTGGAACACGCACCTCACTGCAGCCAACAGGCCAAGCTGGTTAAACTGGCTGATAAACTGTACAACCTGAGGGATCTGAACCGCTGCACTCCTGTTGGTCAGTACGTCTCTGGACACAGTGCTGTTTCCTACAATAAATGGGATGCTGTGTAAAAAAAAAAAAAAAAAAAAAAAAAAAAAATTAAAAATGAAGAGGATGAAATGCTTTGGAACACTTTATTTATTTGGCAGAAGTGCAAAAGACAACATATCAAACGTTGTTCAGTTATGTTTCTGAATGTGCTTGGCAGGTTGGACAGCTGAGCGAGTGCAGGAGTATTTCCTGTGGGCCTTTGAGGTGGTGAATTGCCTGAAAGGAACCAACTTGGCTCTGGAGAAGAAGCTGGAGGAACTCTTCAAAGAGAGAGGAGTCCAGCTTTGACAGCAGGGCCACAACACAGTGGAGAATGGGCTATTTCAAATGCAAATAAAATGCTTTTTGTTTGTAAATATTCAAAATAAATCAAATTTCATGTACATTACAGTGTCCTTTAATTTTCTGTTCTGTTTGTAATGTTTTTGCAGGCTAGTTGAATCCCCGAGTGTCTGATGTTGTGGTGTTTAGTAATAGTGAAAAAGTAAAAGATGCTACTCCTCATTTGGTAATTGTAGCTTGTGGACTGTGATGGTGCGTTTAAAAATAAGCCTATTTAGATATAACACACATTTGCAGGACTGCATTACACAAAGCAAACAATTTGGCACAAAGTGTTTTTCACTATACATGTTATTGGTTATATTTGAATCCATTGAAGAAAGCCAGGATGCTCAGTAATTTTCTTTAACAGAAAAATAAATAAGCTAATATAAAACAACAAGGAGATGTAGTTCATTTGCATTTTTTCTCTTGAAGCGACCTGATAACTCTACTTCATTAAAGTAAAAGTGATTTAAGAGTTTTAGTGACTCCTTTACATGTTACATGTCCACATTTAAAACATATGGGATTATTTGAAATTATTCTACTTTTTAACCAAGAAAACAATAAATAATTTGATTTATTCGTATAAAAAGAATGAATGTGTTTAGCTCAGCAGCCTGCAGAGGGCGCTGTTACACTGAAACGTTTCAGAATATTAACATTCACTTTCACCCTTCCCTGTTTTAGAAAGTTAACTTTTCGTTTTTCGCAAACATATTTCCTGTGTAAACCAAACACTTCATATCTTCTGTATTAAAGTTAAATGTACACAGTCACCGCTCACCGGCGGAAGAACTGTCGGAGCAAATTTACTTCCTGTCCGTTCGCCGATCGTGTCAAACTTCCGTTTGATTTGAGCGACGACGAGGAATTCGTTTTGTCAAAGTGAAATACTCATTTTTTTAATCTTTGTACGGTTGCATATAGTCGACCGGGCGGTCATGTCTAGTCGCGAAGCCCTAAACATGAAGCTTCCACCGATCCAGTCCACGGCCGGAGCCGTGCCGGTCCGGAATGAAAAAGGTGAGCTAGTGCGGTTAGCAAGCAGGGTGTTAGCTGCGTGCTAAGCTAGCTAGCTGGAGTAGCAAAGCTGATAGTAAATTTATGTACGAAGATATATGCTGGAAAAATTTGGACTGTACTTTTTTTTTTTTTACTTAATTTAATAACATTAGTGTCCTGGCTGTAACAATTTAAGAACTGACGGAACATGTTACCAAATTATCTTCGTCTACATAGCTGTAGTGTTGTAGTTGGATAACGGGTCTCCTGATGGGATCCTGCACTACCTGCGGCCTCAGAGTGGAGTTGCATTAAAACAGAGCCACGTTTTTATTGCGGGGTGCTTCAGTTTGTGGTTTGCACGATTTACACTTCAGATTAACTCTCAGTCCACTCTGTGTTAAACGAGCTCCTTCGTCTTTAAGCCAAAGGTTTTCATTGGCTGGTCTTCCTAAACAGAAAGTTTTTAGAGCAGGTGACATGACCTAGTTGGGGATATTTCCTCTGTGTGACATAATACAGAGTCAAGAGTAGAAAAACCTGTCCGCATCAGCGTGTTGCGAGCGGCCTGAAGCCAGTGAGGACGTATATACACAGACATCAGCACTGTCAGGCATTGCAGTTACTTAAAGACCAGTGACCCCAAAGTCGGAATCAGAATACTTTATTAATCCCCAAGGAAATTATGTGGGTTACAGTTGCTCCAAGACAGCAACAGACTAAACTAATTAAATAATACAACATGTTGCAGAGTTTACAAATGTAAGAAATAGCACTAATATATACATGTAAATACACTCAGTTTGATGTCACGTGTGCTTAAGAAAAGGTGGATTTATTTCTTACTTAGAAGAAGAAGAAAATTGTTCTGAATTAAAATTATGCTTCATGTCAGTGGATTTGTTGATTAATAAAAGTATTTTTTAAAGGTTTTTACTAGATTTGCTACATACAAAGAAATTGGATATTAGAAGTGACTTAAATAATAACTGAAAAACAAACTGTGTGTAATCATTCATTTGGGGTTACCAGTATTGTATAATATTAAATAAATTCAGGTTTCGGTACTTTTAAGATGACTTTTTATGATTTGCATGTCCTGTGAGAAAGGTATTAAATCATTATGTCGAGCAGTTTTCTGGTGATCAGTTTGTCATGTAATGATTTATTTAGCAGTAATAAATGATGATATTTATGACTTGGTCTTAGCTAAACATTAAAATGAGAAACTGCAAAGTTGGTATTATTTGTGGTTCTGCTGAGCTGGTATTCCTAATCGGAAAACTTTACGTAGGTTCAAGTGTGATTAAGAGGATTGTGTGTCTCTGTGTGCCAGGTGAACTCTCCATGGAGAAGGTGAAGGTGAAAAGGTATGTGTCGGGTAAACGCCCTGACTACGCGCCGATGGAGTCGTCTGATGAAGAAGAAGAAGACTTCCAGTTTGTGAAGAAGGGAAAAGAAATGGAGCCAGAGGTGGAGCTGGAGGAGGAGGACGTCTCTGATCCACGTCTCAGGCGTTTGCTGAACCGTGTCTCTGAGGACGTGGAAGAGAGGTGGCGCCCAGCGTTTACAATCTGATTCAAGTTCACCAAAACGATCAAGTTGGAAAGCTGACGTGAACATGATTTGTGCCTGTTTGTCCTCAGGCTTGCAAGACACAGACAGATAGCAGAGCCTGAAGTTGTGGCTGAGAGCAGCGAAGACTCTGATGAAGGCACGTGGCACCCACAGCGAGAGGAGAGCAGTGAAGATGAAGAGGAGGAGGAAGAAGAAGTGGATGATGAGGTGCCTGAAAGCTTAAATTTGTCAGTTTTTTTCTTCATCCATTTGTACTAAGACATGTTTCTTTTCTTCTGGTCACTTACAGGAAATTGAGAGGAGGCGAGCAATGATGCGTCAGCGAGCCTTGGATAGAAAGAATGAAGAGATGGAGGTCATGGAGGTGGAGGAAGAGGGGAAATCAGGAGACGAGTCGGAGATGGAGTCTGAATACGAGGAATACACCGACAGCGAGGACGAAGCAGAGCCGCGGCTCAAACCTGTCTTCATCCGCAAGTACGAGATGAAAGTTTGTAGAACAACGTAAATCCAAAGACCGTATTTATCAGTCGCGGACATGTGACGGTCAGTTTTCTGTGCAGAATGTTGACAGATCAAGACACACAAGAAGTGTCTGCTTGCATTACTGAAGGAACGAAAATTAGCAGCATGGAGAAAACATATGAGTGAATGATGAGTCTTTTATCAAGTGGGCTGTGTCGCATTTATCCAGAACAGTCATGTCATCTGGAAACATACAGTACAGTCTGGAGCTGTTCACACTCAAAAATGTGTTTGGAAAGACCTCGAGTGGAGCCGAACATTTCTGTCAAAGTAACTCCTGAACACTTTATTCCTGTTAAAGCTGCAGTGCGCTTTGTGTTTTAGATGGAAGCAGATCACAACAACACCGGCCTGAATACCAGGCCCTTAACATTAATGAGCACATGAACTGTTTTCTCCACAGAAAAGAGAGAGTCACAGTGGCAGAGCGTGAAGCAGAGGAGCAGAGGCAGAGAGAGTTGGAGGCCGAAGCGAAGAGGCAGGCGGAGGAGCGACGGCGCTATACCCTCAAGATCGTGGAGGAAGAGGCCAAGAAGGAGTTTGAGGAGAACCGGCGCACACTGGCTGCTCTGGACGCTCTGGACACCGATGGAGAGAACGAGGAGGAGGAATACGAAGCCTGGAAGGTCAGAGAGCTGAAGCGCATCAAAAGGGACAGAGAGGCACGGGAAGCGTAAGTAAACACCAGTTTGAGTGACTGAAAATGAATTTGTGATAAAGGAACATCCAGAGAAGAGATCATGAGTGTTGTTTGTTCTCAGCTTCGAGAAGGAGAAGTCTGAAATCGAGAGATTCCACAGCTTGACTGAGGAGGAGCGCAGGGCCGAGCTGCGCAACAACGGCAAGGTCGTCACCAACAAAGCCACCAAAGGCAAATACAAGTTCCTCCAGAAGTACTACCACAGAGGAGCCTTCTTCATGGTGAGTCCCCACAGTGCTTCAGTCTAGCTGCACCATCTAACTGAGCTTCCCCCAAATGTCCCAGCTTGACCCAGGGCTTTTCTGCTGAGTTTCTCCTAAGAACCTAAAACATTTGTTACATGTAGCAAAGCAATAATACTTTAATTTCTCATTATATGACTTACCTTTGAATGAATTTCTTGATTTCCATCCCCCTTTTCTTGTATTTTTTAATCAAACTATTTGAGGAGGATCTCTTTGCACCAAATACTTTCGATGCATTTACCTGCATGTAGTTGAGTAAAGCAGAGTTAGTTCACCTAGAAATGAATTAATTTGGATTTGTGTGCCAAAGGTCAGGTGACTGTAGTTTAGTTTAATCAACCAGAGACAGATGATAAAATGATTTTCAGTAAAGTTGAGTACATGTTGGATATTTTGTGTATGTTATGTGCGTGCACACAGGGATGCTGAGCTTCAGTGGGCTGGTGGTACTGTCTGAAAAAAGCAGGATATATGCACCGCACACAGTGCAGGAGATGCATGTAATCCTTGTGGATGTGAACTTTAAACAAGCACCAGGCCTGTACTGTTTTGTCCTCAACAGCAAACTCTTGTGTCAGTGAGCTTTTTAAAATGTCCTGACTTTTTTACACCAAAACGCTTTTATAGTCGTAACATCTCTGACCTTCTGGCTCATCCCTGGAACATTGATCCAAGCTGCAGGATATTAGCTGATGATGTCAGCGATAAGTCTAAGTGTCAGGATGTGTTTTTCTTTTGCAGGACGAGGAAGAGGACGTGTACAAGAGAGATTTCAGTGCACCTACTCTGGAGGATCACTTCAACAAAACCATCCTACCCAAAGTTATGCAGGTCAGTGGCGTTTGCTTTTTCCTCATCTTCATCGTAGCCTGGACTGTTTCACTGAACATTGTTATAACAGCGTTGTGTTCATATGAAAAATAAGGTTAAATGGTTTTCAGGTGTTTGTGCTGTTTCTCACGAGATCTAGTTGGAACCTTAGAGAGGAGGATGTAAACACTTAACCATGTTTTTACATTTGTGTCTTGTTGTTCTGAAGACATTTGGACGGCTATGTTGTGAAATTAAATGTTCTTGTGTGCTGCGGGTGTTTCAGCACTCCAGCTAGCTTGGACCTGCTTACTTGGTGCACTTGCAGATATTTATTGTTAATCTGCATCTGTTTATTTGTGCGTTTTCATAATTCAGTACTTGTTTTGAAGCTTTAATGACTAAACAGTCGTCTTTGACCTGCTGCTGCTGTTTCCACTGACTTCTTCTCACATGTGGTGACAGCTGAGAGAACCTCTCGTGCTGCACAGAGCAGTAGAGACAATAACAGTGCATCTTATTCAGGCAATAGCAAAAAGAGTTTCTTTTTCTCTTCAATCACGGGCTCTCTGATCTTTTCTGGTTTGTGTTTCCTGCAAAGGTGAAAAACTTTGGTCGGTCTGGACGCACAAAGTACACCCACCTGGTGGACCAGGACACCACGTCGTTCGACTCTGCCTGGGCTCAAGAGAGCGCTCAGAACACCAAGTTCTTCAAGCAGAAGGCGGCAGGCGTGAGGGACGTGTTTGACCGGCCCACCGTGAAGAAGAGGAAGACTTAAGATGCACATGAAGAGGATATGAGCAGGCCCACGGTGCAGCTGTAAATACTTTGAGAGACTGAGCTGCAGCCTGATGGTCTGTTTTTCTGGACTGTGACGTGGAAGGAAATCAGCAGATGGACTGATTGTAAGGTGCACCATCACTGCTGGCTCCATGAAATCTACAGGAGATGCAGCTGGTGGGATGTAATTTTGTAAATTCAACATTTAGTACACACAGTCTCCCACTGACTCGTTCCTTTTTCCTCGGTGTTGTTTACTGATATTTGATGACTATTCCAATAAAAGCAGTGTGTTTTCTTTTTTCATAAATGGACATGAAAGAAGCCAAATGTCAACTTTTATTTAAAAAAAAAAACAAAAAAAAAACAACAGTAAAGATGACACCACGACAGTTTAACCACCCAGCGTGACCGATGAGCCTGATGAAGCAGTCCAGTGTCAGTCATGTTTGTTCAGTTGGTCAGAGCCACCAGAGCTTCCACCACGTTCCCCATGTGTTCCCTCAGACTGCGCTCAGCCACGGCCCTCGAAATCTCCATCTCAGACATCTGGACAATAACACGGACACCAAAAGAAGCGTAAAGACAACTGGTTTTATAAAAACTACAGTTTGACTTCCTTCCTACAGTTTGGCTTCCTTCCTTCCTTCTGTAACGCACTGATGTAATTTAAAACGTAGGTTTAATATTTGATTTCCATTACCAACGCTCCAATCAACAAACTTTAGACAGCACTGGTCCAAATGTTGAATTTTATTTTTAGATCACCAATTTACAATAATAGTCGGGACTTAATAAGGTAACATAAAAGTCGCATGTGCACACATGTAGTGACTGTGTGAAGGAACTACTCCACTGTAGAGCCAGGCTCATACGCTGCGATCACCTGGGAAATCAAAGGAAAGGAATTCCAGTTCTAATCGTTTCAAGTGAAGCTTTTAGGAATTCTGCTACTTTCAGATCGCTGAGATCTGATTTTTGTCAATTATCAATAGAAGTGTTTTTGATTCTGGTCCAAGATGCTCATATTTATCATTTTCACCACAACTAAAAAACAGAATCAACTTTTTGGGTTTGGGTCACACGGCGTTAGTGTCCACATACTTTAGATCATGTAGTGAACCAGCATTTGTGTGGTTGTATAACAGCTAAATGGATTAATACACAAAAAGAGTAAAATAAATAATATAATAATTAAAAACAACAACTTACAATTAGCTCTACGTCCTCTCTCTTGATGGTGACTTTGGCCAACTCCTTTTCTCTGAAAGCAGGAATAAATAAAACATCGGGACTCTCCTGGGTCTTTTACAGTGACTGAGGCAACAAGGAGCCAACACTTCAGTTACAGATGAAGCTGCTCTTACCTCTCCTGCTTGGCTTTCTGTTCCCGCGACCTTCTGTCTCCAATCACTGACATGGCCTGTGACAGGAAACACTGTTTATAGCATTTATATGGTTTTCACCTTCCTATGTGTCAAACATGAAGAATGT